AGGGATATTGGACTCTACGTAGTAGCAAATAGCTACTAGCAGCGTCCTTGCTAATTGCTAATAGTACCGGCACCTTCCAAAAGTCTCCTCTGGTGGCTTTTGTAGACTTAAAAGTCGCAGGTGGTGACCTGTTGGAAGGTCCTGGTATCCAATAGTAATGCCAAGAGCTAGTAGCTTCTTGCTACTACTATAGTAGTAAGGTACCTTGCTACTAGTAGCGTCCTTGCTACTAGTGTACACTCCCACAGCTCATGAAAACACGAAGATTGTAAAGGGAATCTCTATCCCGTTTCGGTTTCGCTCCACTTCAAGGCCTTTGTGCTGGGGCTTTTTTTGCACGTAAACGAAGCAATGGCCTCCACCCTAATAGTAAAAGGAACCTAATAGCGATGGCCTCCAGCCTAATACTAAAAGGAATCTCTATCCTGTTTCGATTTTGCTCCACTTCAAGGCCTTTGTGAGGGGTTGCTTTAAATCATGTGCGAATCGGGATTGAGTTTCCTTGTGATGGCGGATTTGATATCCCTCATAATCCTCATAAACAAGTGTCGAAATTGAAACATCGCCAGAATAGGGCATGAGCGATTGTATGTCATCTCATCTCGACCATTTTGATTGGTTCTTTGAGACCCTACAACTGCGGTTTGAATACCAGCAGGAATCCAATATGTACATGATTTTTCATGTGTTCCTGATGTTCTTTCTCACGTTTGTCCATCCCCCAAACGCGATGGCCTCCAACCTATGAGAATTCGGGGGGGTCCATATAAACCACCTCTTGGGGTCTGTGCCATCTACTCTCCATCCACTAAAACACTTCAGCTTGCAAAATATCACATCGACCCGACAAGTCCAAACCTCTGCTCGCCTCTGGAAACCGCCTCCGCAGGTCATGACCCGCTTCAAGGCACCCGCGGCGTCTCGCCACGCGAGCCACGTCGGGACCCTCCGCGCGGGGTCAAGTCTCGCCCGCTCGTCGGCTGTCTCCGTCTCCGCGTGCGACGCAGCGCTGGGAGGCGGACGAGGAGATCTTGGCCAAACGCCTGGAGGCGCGCCTGGTGGAGCTCCGCAAGATGGGGAAGCTGCCACACCAGCTGCTCGGCGGCGCTGCAGCTCTTTCTTGGCCCAAAAGAAAAGCTCGTTGAACACCAGGGAAGCATTCTGCTTGCCGTTGGTGTTCGTTTTTTTTCCCGAATGCGTAGCGAAGGGTTCCCGTTTATAGTTGGGGGTCTGGGGGTTGGAGCTGTGTTTGCATGGCTTGCGTTGTGTCGTCGTTTATCGTCGTCTCTCGTCGTTTGTCGTCGTCGTGTCGTCGTCGTCGCGTCTCAAATTTGCTGCCATTGGGGGAAGCTTTTGCAAGTAACTTTTCATGGATGTGTCACGTGTCAGTTTGCGCCGCTATTCCATTGTGATTTGCATGAAAATGACATGCCGCGCAAGAAACCAAATGCGTTTCGCTGCACAGGCGCAGCGTTTTGTGAGATCCGCAGATTACTGCGCAGTTCCATTGGGATTAGCGTTTGGAGAGTCGCGTTTTTGGGGTGTTGGATGTGGCCGTGCCATTGGGATTTGCGTTTCAGGGTGTGGCATCGAAGCTCGGTTTTCGTGACAAGTCTCAGCTGAAGTGGCGATTTTGGTGGATGGGAGTGTGCTCTGAACGGGTCGAAATCATTCCAAACGTGTGGTATGGTGCAAATTTTGTTGAAGCTCACATGCGATGATATTGTCACTTTTCGTGGCAGGCGCAGGACTTCGTGCGGGTTTTGAAGCGTGGAAGTGCGATTCTCGTGGCAGGCGCAGGGAACTGTGAGGTTGCGAGGTGTGAGGGAGGTGACATTTCGTGGCAGGCGCAGTACTTTGTGCGCGTTAGACGTGTGGATGGGGAAAGATTCGTGGCAGGCGCAGGGAATCGTGAGGTTGTGAGTTGTGGTAGAGGTGAATGTCGCTGTCACATTGGGATTGGCGTGTGAGCGGATGTTGTTTGGAGGGGCTGGAATCGCGAAACTGCTTGGCAGGGCTGCGTGATGTGTGTGGTCCGATGGGTATTTCCGCTTGACTTTTGGAGGAAGTCTCGTACGAAACGCTCGCTTTGCAGACTTTGACGTGTGAGTTTTTGAGGAAGTCTCGTACGAAACGCTCGTTTTGGAGACTTGACGCGCAACCCTCTGCGGAGATCGTGCGTGTCGAGTGTGCGAAATGCAGGCGAGAGTGCGACTTGTCCCATGCGCGCGCAACCCTCTGCGGAGATCGTGCGTGTCGAGTGCGCGAAATGCAGGCGAGGGACAAATCGCATGCGCGCGCAACCCTCTGCGGAGATCGTGCGTGTCGAGTGCGCGAAATGCAGGTGAGAGTGCGATTTGTCCGGTGCCCGCGCAACCCTCTGCGGAGATCGTGCGTGTCGAGCGCGCGAAATGCAGGCAAGCACTGGCGACTTTGTAGTACAACTTTAGTACGCGGGGTTCTAGGGAGCTGGAAGATGAGAACTGGTGAGAGAACTGGCGACTTTGTAGTACAACTTTAGTACGCGGAGCAATCTGTGGAGCTGGAAGCTGAGAACTGGCGACTTTGTAGTACAACTTTAGTACGCGGAGCAATCTGTGGAGCTGGAAGCTGAGAACTGGCGACCTTGTAGTACAACTGTAGTACGCGGAGTATCTGGAGTATCCCACAAGAGTGTCCTACAAGAGTGTCCCACAAGAGTGTCCCACAAGAGTGTCCCACAAGAGTGTCCTACAAGACTGTCCCACAAGAGTATCCTACAAGAGTGTCCCACAAGAGTGTCCCACAAGAGTGTCCCACAGAGTGTCCCACAAGAGTGTCCCAGAAGAGTTTCCTACAAGAGTGACCCACAAGAGTGTCCTACAAGAGTGTCCTACAAGAGTGTCCCACAAGAGTGTCCCACAGAGTGTCCCACAAGAGTGTCCCACAAGAGTGTCCCACAAGAGTGTCCCACAAGAGTGTCCCACAAGAGTTTCCTACAAGAGTGTCCTACAAGAGTGTCCCACGAGAGTGTCCCACAAGAGTGTCCCACAAGAGTGTCCTACAAGACTGTCCCACAAGAGTGTTCTACAAGAGTGTCCCACAAGAGTGTCCCACTAGAGTGTCCCACAAGAGTGTCCCGCAACAGTGTCGCTCAAGAGTGTCCTATAAGAGTGTCCCACAAGAGTGTCCCACAAGAGTGTCCCACAAGAGTGACCCACAAGAGTGTCCTCCTACAAGAGTGTCCCATAAGAGTGTCCTACAAGACTGTCCCACAACAGTGTCCCACTAGAGTGTCCCTTAAGAGTGTCCTACCGGAGTATCCCACAAGAGTTTCCTACAAGAGTGTCCCACAAGAGTGTCCCACAAGAGTGTCCTACAAGAGTGTCCCACAAGAGTGTCCCACAACATTGCCCCACAGAGTGTCCCACAAGAGTGTCCGAGTGACCCACAAGAGTGTCCTACAAGAGTGTCCTACAAGAGTGTCCCGCAAGAGTGTCCCACAAGAGTGTCCTATAAGAGTGTCCCACAAGAGTGTCCCACAAGAGTGTCCCACAAGAGTTTCCTACAAGAGTGTCCTACAAGAGTGTCCCACAAGAGTGTCCTACAAGAGTGTCGTGTAAGAGTGTCCCACAAGAGTGTCCTGCAAGTGACCCACAAGAGTGTTCTACAAGAGTGTCTCACAAGAGTGTCCCACAAGAGTGTCCTAGAAGAGTGTCCCACAAGAGTGTCCTACAAGAGTGTCCCACAAGAGTGTTCCACCAGAGTGTCCTATAAGAGTGTCCCACAAGAGTGTCCCACAAGAGTGTC